GCTCCCTCGAGGTCCATGGTGACCCTGTCCCTGCTGGCTCTCAGAGGATGTCCTCGGCGGGGCTGCTGTCTTCCTGCTTCGGTTATGTGAACGACTGACTCAGAATTTAGGTCATTGTGTCTTTATCATTGGTTCAACTCTGTCTTTGTAAATCCTTAACCGACATCTTTGTATTTTTTTCCTCGTCTATGAGACAGAACAAAACAAGAAAAGGAAAAAAAGGCAGGAACCAGAAATACACACGGAACTAAGTCTCCATTCTTTGCAAATAAAAAATCCCTTCAAGTTTTCTACAGAGATGAGAACAGACAGACAGATAGACAGACAGACAGGCAGTCTTCTCACAGACGAAACTCTGCCTTCATGAACAGACAGACGAAGAAGACCAACCGAAAAAAGAGTACAAAAGAAAGACTGCCCGCGAACGAGACACACTCGAAAAGATCAACCAAGTCGGTCACGAAAGCGGGCGACTCAGCGAGCGCGCGAGAGAGGGAGATGAGAGGACCCCCGCCTTGCTCGGCTGCTGCGCCTAGACTGCCGGGGCGAGGGACACGGAGGCTGCGGCCCGTCCCCTTCTCTGGGTCATGAGGGAAGGCGAGGAGGGCGAAGCGAGGGTGAGGGGAAAGGAGGGTGAAGGTAGGATATGGGGAACGGAGAGGTAAGGGCGAGGGAGCCAGGGTGGGAGGGACAGAGGGGAAGGAAATGGGGAGAGAAAAGGGTGAAAATAGGTTAAGGGGAATTAAGGTAGGGTAATGGGAGAGAGAGGGGGGGAGACAGACAAAGAAAAAGAAGAAGGATGATAGTGAAGAAGAAAATAACGAAAAAAAATGCACGTGAAAAAAAGAGTTTGAAGAGCGGAAGAGAGATAAAGAGGAAGACAGCTTAATGAACAAGAGAACAGGTGAAGCGAAGGAAGAAGGAATTTAAAAACCTGAATACACTGTCTGCTTGTCTCTGCGCACGTGTGAGTAATTCTGTTGTTTCGTCTTGTAAATAGAAGCTGCGTGCAGAGTGGAATACTCAGACTCTTAAGCACTTGCATAAACAAAGGAGCAAAAGAATGTCTTGCGGTTATACTTACGTAAACACGTACACATGCCCAGACAGACAAATAAGTACATAACACGCACACACACACACAGATACTCACTCTCACCATACACACGAACACGCGCAGACACAGACGTTAAAGCATACACATACATCGAAGACACACACACATACGCACACGCACACACACTTACACGTGCGTACACATGCACACGCACACACATTTTCCTTCCCTCCCCAAAACAAACAAATAACATTCGCACACATACACCTTGTAAATAAACACACCAACAGCATCGCTCCCCCCAAAAAAACAAATACCACCCCCTCCACACACAAACAAACACACGCGTAAACAAATCAACATACGAAAACAAACACAATCTAAGACTGGAAACAAAAGACAGACGAGCAGTGACTATTACTATTAATACCATCACTATTAAGATATCTTTATAGGGTAAATCTGGGGGATATAGAATTTCAGTAAACAAACATGAAATGCTACTAAAATGGAAGAACAACATGCAAACTAATCAGGGAAGTCAAATTTTAAGCGCGGAAAGACATAATTACGTCATAATATTAAAACAGGTGCCGAAATTTGTCGCTCGCAATCCCACTCTTCGCTTATCGCCGAAGTCATTGTAAACAAACCATGTAACTCAGAAGATGGCGCTCAAGAAAGTAGTGCGTGTGCTACTATCTATCGTTTGATAGACATTTGACACTTACTCTCCAAACGATATTAATTACCATTATTTTAATTTCTATAATCTATTCGCATTTTACGCTCTTCAAAATTTGGCGTGACATCATTGTATGGCGTACTGGTACCTTCAAATATCCCTAAAAACGGTAAATGGGGTTTCTTTACAATTTTACAATAAGACCTTGTGTGGGAGACCTATGTATAACCCCCCCCCCTAAAAAACCCGATTCCACGTGTCCCCCAAGATCGTAGGGGATAGGGGAACATTCCATCTCCTCTTGAATTACCCTATATAATTTCAACTTAAACTTTTGGAGACTAAATTCAAACATCTCCATAGTATATGATTTTTTTTTCTACAGCCGGGATGAGTAAACAGGACAAGGAATGGACGAGGATGAATCAATCCTTCCACACTTTTTTAACGACGCGCTTCATCTTTTGAGCAATAAAGCGTTTCCTTTCCTTCCTATATAAGAAAGAGCAAAGTGAAATTAGACATCATTATCTTGAATCACAGCTGTGTATGAATCACGCCTTCCACGCCTCTTCCAGTAACGTTTCCAATGCTGAGGAGTAAATCATTTCCTTTTTTCCTATATATTGTAAATCAAAGTGTAAATAGACGCCATTGGGCGATTCCTCTTGTAAGTGTGTATTTTGAGGCGTAAATGTTTCAAAGGAGTGAGTGTGTTTGTGTGTATGTGCGTGTGTGTGTGTGTGTGAGAGAGAGAG